TACCTGTACAAAGGCCAATTATTGTTTATGTTGAGCCTATTTATTAAAATATGTCTATAATAAGTCATAGCCTATCTGCCAATCTTACCTTTTGTCAATTCAAGTCTTACCTTTTATTAATTTCTGATAGGCTAGGTACTGGAAAATTATGTATAGGCTAGTAAATAGTTCTCTTACTTTATACATAATGTATATTTACATAGGCTATCTTAAAATTAATTAATAGGCCTACCCAATCTCAACCATGCTAATAAAATGGCTGCCCTAGTATAGGCCTACTTAATGTTAGCCTATAAAACCAAATAAAAATTATTTTTTATTTTATTTGACATTTCAACAGACAACTCCATTTTTACAGTTTTGAACCATATGAATGAATTCAAGACACTGACGAACATGCGTAAATGTATAAACAAAAATGTGTGAAGTATAGATGGCAATAAAATGACAAATTAATTTTAGTGCTTGCAGTTGATGATAAATTGTATAAGCTATAATGGGTAGACTTCCGTATCTGTTGGCACAAATGACCAAATTAAAATAGGCCTATCGATTATTCAATTGTTTCATTCGATACATCGTTTGGTTAACCAAACGTTCTACCAATACGGAACGTTCTACGTTGGTAGAACGTTCCAGGTTCTAGGTTAACCTTACCTAACTAACCAAAAGATATATTGAATAATCGATATATCGATTGATATTTTCATTAGGTTGTTTGTGCCAACAGATACGGAAGTCTACCGGCTATAATAAATAACAAAACCAATACCTACCTGAAGAAATTTATAAACTACCGATTTCTAATATAATCTGAGTACCGTAGTTAAAAATATAATGTAGACTAAAAGCATTTTGTAAAATAAAAAATTAAAGAATCGGGCAAAATAGGCTCTTGGGGAAAATAGGTTATGTTGGCCATTAAACAAGAGATTTATGGATTTTAAGGCTTACCATTGGACGTGCATTAATGCATCATAATTTATTGCATATCTACTCAAACGTACACTTACACATGTATGTTCACTTACAGTTGACTGGAGTAATTTAAACAAGTAATAATTGTTAATAATAATGATAATTCGGTTAACTTATAGTAGTAAAATATCCACTTTTAAGGTAATATTTGTAAGAACACAATCCATGGTATTTAAAAAAAATTAGTTTGAAAGTATTCTGTTTAAATGAAAAATAGTTATTTTCTTTTTCCTTTTTGTAACATATCAGAGTCTGGCAAACTTATTTTGCAATCTTTCATTAGATATCCCAGTAGTTATTCATGAAATCATCGGAGGTGTATACAGAACATTCAACTCCATAAGGTGTTAGACTGTATTTGAAATTTGAATTGCTTCTTTGTTTCTTCTTATTTTTTAAATTCCCTGGACCTTGTAACAGGGGGGGGGGGTTGGTACTAATTTTACACCTGTTTTTGAGCAAAACTCAAAAGTCCCTGTCATTACTTAAAATTAAAAGTTATAGCGATTTTTGAAATAGGAACACACCCTTCTTTGTAACAAGATTTAGATTTTTGGATAATCTAAAACAATTGACATTAAGACTTACACATAAATTTTAACCTTCTTATCTATTTCAGGTGATTTTAACCATGTCCAACCACACAAACATTGCAAGATGTAAGAGCCCAGCAGGTCATGTAAGGCACCAACCAAGAGCTGCTGGGAACACCGGAGACCAGGTATCACCGAGAAGAACATCTGTCAGACTTCCACTTACCCGTCGCGATCTGTTGAAGCCGGGCAGTAGATTCTGGCTAGGAATAGATAACCTACGCCAGTCTAAGCGCCTGACAGCAAAACCTCCTATATATCCAAAAAATCACCCATCCACAGTAGAACCCAAAGTGGTTGATAACAAAAGTAGGTTAAAAATAGGGTTACTCATTTGTAAACCCTACTTCTAGTTATATCACAGCTCAGGGGCTAAAAATTGGATTTTAAAATATTAAAGGTTATGTCTTACATTGTTTATTAGCAAAATTTGATTGATTGAGAACATGGTTTTGGGCGTCTGAGCGTCACTGGACATAAGGCACCTGATAAATTGCTGCTTTTACCTAGTGTGAAATAGGGCAATGTCTGCCCGTCACCATGGTTCCAAGGGTGTTTTCCCTTAACTTACCTATTTTTTACTTAAATAGCATCTGACTTCAATAGCAAATTATCTGCAATCTTCTCAGACTGGCATTAAAACTTTCTAATGGTATTAGGCAATCAGCTTAATCTCAGGTGGAAAAGTTGATTTATTATTTCCAGTACAGTTGGTCCAGTGTAGTAATTGTTTGTTTCTAAAAAAATGGACGAGAAAGTTCAGCAGAAAATTATGAACTATTTTAAGGCTTGGTAAAATTCAAAGCCAACATTTTTTTCTGAGTCATATTTACCTCTATCTTTATTCAACAATGCAGTAAAGTATGTTATCTCAATACATGGTATTTTCATGAGATCAGTTTCACATCACTGCCCAGAAATAAATATTAATATAAATATTCAGATTATTTATTGTCTTTGAGAGTCAACTAGACTTACAAACCAATTATGGCCAAACCTTTTTTTAATATTTATATTAAGAACAAGATTATAATCCTTTATTTATATGACTGAAATATTGGCCAAACTCCATACAGTGTAATAGCAAAATTAAAATCTGTAAAAAACCTATATACAGTGTACTTGTTTTACTCTTTGAACTTATTCCGACTTTCAACTATCTGTACGCAAGTTTGACAACAAAACCTGCTGAACACTATACCTGACAGCCTGGGAGTCAATTTTATAACTACGGTTGGGTTTCTCGGTCTGGCCTATTGTGCAACTCAAGAGGAGTTTACTTGTCTGTGGCCAGAAGCAAACCTAAACAGTGAGGACCGAAGTTGATGATGGGGCGGGTTGCACCTCAAATCAGCCATTTAGCAATTTGTTGCTTGTGTGTGTCACCAGCTAGTTTGAAAATCATTAGGATGTTATGTCCGTAAGATGAGGGAAAACACAGTGGAAATGGATATAACTAAATCACTGAATAGAGTTCAAAGAGTTAAAATACTTTTTCCTACAGTTACCTAACAATGTACATGTTCTCTCACTGATTTGAGAAAGCAAAGTGGCCAATTCGCTCACCAGTGAGACAATGTTAACATTGTCTCACTCTAATTACTTTGTCTCACTCCAGATTTGCAACGTGAAGGCATGAAATAGTGAGCGCGTAACATGCAGGCAACGTCGTATGCGCGCGAAATACGTTGGCAGCACTGGCTGTAAATCAGCTGGTCAGCTGTTGTACTGTTGTATTTGTCACTTCACATTAAATGTTATATTAAAAGTTCACTTCTGTGTAAAAAATAGGTTATGTTTCTTCACAAATGTTTTTGTTTTATGGTAACTGTAGGAAAAGTATAATGTGCAACTTGAGTTCAAAGTACAATTGCCTCACTCGAGAAACCATTCCTCACTCGCCTACGGCTCGTGAGTAAGGATTTCTCTCGAGTGAGTCAATTGCTCACTTTTCTCACTAGTTGCACAAATAACTATTAACTTCTTAAATTTTAATTGGATCTTCTTTCTGTTGATTAGCTGAGGATCAGCCCCTCTACACAACAAGCAATGAGGATAACAATCAAACAGGCCTCATTGAAACAATAAACAGGGGCACTAGTGAAGCATTAGTCAGAAGAATCTTTGCTAGAAGTCAAGTTTATCATCGTAATTTTTCTAGGCTCAATAAAAGATTGAGGCGAGGACCAAGGGCACCCCAGTCACTCAGAAAAGTGCCCCAGACAATTTGGCCTGTAAAGAAGCTGAGAACTCCGACCAATCGCCCATCATCAGCGAACCTTGAAGCCAACAATTCTTTCAAAAATTAGTTTTGTATTTTTGTTTTATCAAAGTTGTTTGTTTTTAAGTAAATGTAGTTTGTTGTTTTAAATAATTGTTAAACAAAAACATTGTACAGCATGAAAAAGTGTGTGAGAAAAGTGTGATAATTTTTGGGAAAATAATATATAATTAATATAAATTAAGTGAAAAGTTCTGTGACAGGTAATATTTTTCACAAATAACTGATGACTATAAATAATTGTAACTTGCAATTGAAGGTTTAATAAATATCTTGTTATAAATCAATCTTTCAGTACCTTGAACCCAATTTATTTATGACCAAAAACAAGCTGCATAGTAAACATACCCTACTGGCATTCAGTCATAAGAAGATAGAGGGTTGCTTGAGCATTGAGAGAAGGGAATATGATGAAGAGGGATATTTCATAGATTTGGTACAAACGGAAACCTATGGCTAAATTGACATCTATTGCTCAAACTTAAGATTTTAATGTCACAGTAATATAGAGTTTACACTCTTTTATTTCTGAAGATGGCTTTAAAATATGTATATTTTGACATATTTTGGTGAGTCGGTTGCTCAGTCCGTAGCGTCACGGATTTCGGGTCCATGGCAGCGATTCCGTGGGTTCGGATCCTGGTCACTGCCGCAAACATTTTATCAGTACAGTTCACCTTCGTACTGTACCGGCTCCCCCTTGCTTTGCTGGATACGTTCAACAACTCTTATCATGGGTAAGCAGTCGGAGTTACTATGGTTTTTAAGGGGAAAATCACAATTTGCAATAACTTTTGAACCATAATTTTTACAGCAGTTAGGGTTTTACTTAGTGACTTAAAAATGTTCAGTAACAGTAACTACTGAGCCACAACATTTAATGCTGTTAAAATGTTAACTCTTTCAAACTAGATGAGTTTTTAAATAACTAACGGCCTTAAATTTAATATTTGCCAACAGAAATGATGGTGTTTTCAACATCATTGTATGTATTGGCAGAAATTGTAATATAAGGATTAGTTTTAAGAAGTGACGCATGTTCAATGTACTTACGCTACAAAACAATGAATAAAGAATGTTTTGACTTTGACTTTGAAACAGAAATCTCAGAAAGTAATGAATTAAGGAAGAAAAAATCATGTACAAAATACATTGTTTACAATTTATTCATAAAAAAAACTTAAACAAAGGAACCTTGAGAATGTAACTTTCTCCTCCAGTTGCAAGTAAAATATTATAATAACAAAGTCTCCTCATGAAGAAAAACTAATATTTTATAACTATAGTACATTGGTAAAAAAAGGCTTGGATTTCTACCTTAGGCCTGAAGTATTTGACTCCTGTAATTCTCATATTCGTTAGCATAACTGCTAGCTGCTGACATTTTCATACATAATTTTAATGATTCTATGTAAATACAATGTTTTTTATCAGTAGTAACCTGAGTAGCAGTGACATGATCATTATTTATTACGTATACCAACTGAGCCCACGCCTTCACTCCACTTTACACAACGAAGTAATCCTCCTAATTGAGCAGATCTTAATGATATCAGAATTTTACAGCCCAGACACCAGCATATAGTTGTCGAAGGCTTACAATTAGGAACGGGTGATTATTTTGTCAAAAACATTCCTGGTTTTTCTATTAACTTATCATTACTAAAAGTGGCAACTACTTGAAAAATAGTTTAAAGATTCTGAGATATTAACAATCACTGCACAAGGTGTCCAAAAAAACTGAACAATTTGAGGCAGAAAAAAATCTATTAGGAGTACATAGATATTTGTTGAAAATGACATATGATAGAGGAACTCATAGTTTTTTTTAACATGATTTACATGTATCAGCTGATCCATTGTTGTCTTTTGAACCTTTAAACATCAAAACATAACCTACAGTAAGGCAGGCGTTATGAACGTGCAAGCGAAAGCTCAGTGTGTTGAATGGTACATTGAAACATAATCTGATATTTTAGAGCAAAGAAGATTTAGAAAACACGATGGTCGACATCCTTCATCAAGGAACACCATCCAAGAATGATGAGTTTATTTTGACTGGAAGCATAAAACACTTGAAAGTTAATGGTAGGCCTAAGCTCCCAGATGAAGTTGTAGAACATGTGCATCAAGGATTCCTTCTTAGTCCTCAAAAATCTGTCCGCATCGCAGCATGTGAATTAAATTTGTTAAAATCGAGTGTTCACCGAGTGAGTACTAAAGAAAAACCTTAATATGAAAGCTTATATTGTTTATTTTACAACAAATTACCCCAGATGACAAACTGAAATGTAAAGAAGACTTTGCAGCTACTGTGCTTGATCGTATGTTTGTTGATGACTTTTAAAAAAAGATAGTGTTTTCCGACGAAACCACATTCCATGTTCGTGGAAAAGTTAATAAAGATAATATTCGAATATGGGGCATTGAAAAGCCATATGAATTTCGAGAAGAGAACATATTCGAGAAAGCCCCAAGTTGAATGGCAACATTTATCTAGACATGCTAGAAAACAGACCTACAGCCCAATGTGTTTTTACAACAAGATGGAGCCCCACCACATTGGAAGTTTTTTGTCAGAGAGTCACTTGACAACTCCTTCCCTTTACAATGGATTGGGTGTGACGGACAGTCTGATACGCTGGCCTCCACGGTCCCCCGACCTAACATCCTGTGACTTTTTTGTCTGGGGCTTTGTCAAAGACCAAGTTTACAAGTCGTATCCAATGTTCGAGAATTCAGATTGAGAATCAATGCAGCCTTCAGCAACATCACAGATGAAATGAGACATAGAGTGTGGTCAAAGATAGATAACCATATTGACTATATTTTTGCCAACAATGGGAATAATGTTGAAGTTGAAGTACATTAACAAACATTATATTAATGATATCTTAAGAATAAGTGTGTCACTTTTTATTTTAAAACATTTCCATATGTGTGTAATTAAAATAATTACAATCCAACAAAGTTGTTCAGTTTCCTTTGGGACACGGTGTATTTGTAGAGCATAGGAGTACTATTAGCCTATACAAAACACAAACAGGAGAACAGATTTGTAAATAATATTTATGAACAACTAAAATGTATGAGCATAGTTTGAAAAAAAATAATCAAAGGGTAAAAAATGGTAAACCTCACTGTTTATTTTTAAATTGTTTCTAAGACTTCTTTATGAAATCTAACTACAACACTAATCAATGAAACTATAAATAAAATTTACATTAACAGCTGATATGGTTTTTAGACAATAGGACATTGTTTCTTTAGGGTCATGAACTGTTATTAGTTTGCTCGGTCCTAATATCTTCTCATTTAATTATTGTCTTTTCTTTAGAATTGGAAAAATATATATATTCAAAATTTAGATGGTCTATTAATGACTTTTCATCGGTGACATATTTACACAACATTTTGACAAATAGCCATGTTATAAAGGAATTGGGCGCATCTTCACGATGTGATGTCGATAATCTTCGCCTTCTTCAGGAACTCCTACTTTTAATCCATCTTCACTGAAACATTAACAAAATGAAATGAGTATCTACTTTCAATAATAAATTCACAGAGCATTCTTTAAAGTTTAAAACTTTTGTTTTCCATCAACAATAAAAGGGCCTTTTACAATAAAATTGCGTAATAAATATCACCGTAATTATGGGTGATGTTGAACTACGTATGTCGTTCTCAGAATTCATGGATTACCTGAATTAATTGGTTGTGCTGTGCATGTGGCTTCGTCAAGGGTAGTCTACAAACTGTGCAGTTTACAAATTGTCCAAAATTAATAATTATGCTGGTTTATAAAGTAAATATGATTGTCTGACTATACTAAATATGCAATTTAAGAAATTTAATGTGAACGCATAAAATAAAATACTTTCAGCAAACAAAAGCTCAAACCCATCCTATTTTAAATTCTAGGTATGCTTTGACTTTATGAGAAATGTATCTCTTGTTCCTTAACCAGGGTTTCCACAACAATTTCTAAATTGATTTTACTACAATATACTTTTTTACTATAACTTCTAATACAACATTTGATTTTAAAATTTTGCCTGCAATATCCACAAAGCGACACTTGCACTCTTTTTTTATTATTTGAATAACGAATATAGCTAACAAATAGAGTTACAATAATAGTAAAATGGTCTCATGTTTATTGATATTAACGAATAATGAAGTAACTTACAATGTATGGAACATATAAAATTAACAGTCAATCCTATGCTCACATACTGGATTATCTGTGGAACTAAAGAAAAGAATATGGCTACTGTATTTGTGTAATAAGAGCGCTATTTGTGTATATCTGTTACAATGCACTCAGCATAGCAACGCTGGTGGCGCTGCCTACGAATTGACAGGCAAAGCTCTCTCAAAGTACTTACCGCTTTTTACCATGCGGTTGGCATTCTGGGTTATAGTAGTATGTTCTCTGTGCCTAGACGTATTACCGGATGTTGGTCTTTTATAGAAACGCTAACAGTAAAATTCATCTGATTTAGAGAGCGGGAATCAATAAAGCGGAAATGAGCTATTTTGTGTACTTTTTACAGGTGTGGCAATGTGATCATTTCCATGTAGTGGTAGGAAAAATATTGACCATCCTACCACCAAAAAATACGTCCTACCAGAAAAATATTCACTGTGTAAATGTTCTTAACAAACCTTTTTTTACCCTTCATCATAAATTATTATCAAAAAGATTACTTTGATTGAGAACATTTACAAATTATTTGAAATTGTGGTTATAAAGTTGCCATAAGATTAAACTAATTTAACTGTAAGAGTAATGTTAACATTGCTTAATTTTAAATTATAAACAATCAAGACAGCATTTTGGAGTCAAACATTCATAGCTTTTTCAAACACATTACTATGTTTTGTATATTTTTCAATAACTTTTATCGTTATAGGCCTAGGACACTTTCCCTGACTTTCAGCCTTTTTTCATACACCTTTGAGATCTTATACCTATTTCTCTATCCTTACCTGACCTTCCTTAACATTCTAGGTTTGTGTAAACCCAGTGTTAATATACAGTGTTAGCAAAACGGGAGTGATGGAGACCAGGTCAAGTCCCTTCAAACGCATGCACCCACACAGCACAGAAAACATACTACTATAACCCAGAATGCTAACAGCATGATAAAAAGCATAAAGCACTCGGATAGAGCTTTGACTGTCAACTCGTAGGCAGCGCCACCAGCGTTGCTATGCTGGTGGCACTGCCTAAAAATTTACAGGCAAAGCTCTTTCTGAGTACTTAACGCTTTTTACCATGCGGTGAGCATTCTGGGTTGTAGTAGTATGTTTTCTGTGCCCACAGGTCTCCATCGGCACTCCTGTTTTGCTAACACTATAGTGCTCAATTAAAATATACTTTAAACCAACTTATTTTAAAGTTTTATTCACATGAAGAATTTTTACCTGTTTACTTCCAACTCCAGATAACATGGATCAGGTAGTCCTTCCAGTTGCAACTGAAAAAAACATTTTTTTTTTATATTTGGGTTGCAACAAGCTATACATCAAGATAGCCTCAACCTCAAACAGATTTAATAATGAAGCTCTTTTATGGTACAAATTGTGTAATTCACCCTGTTTAGGATAGGCCCTGGCTATTTAGTATTTAGAACATTACATTTCAAGGCTTGGATGTAGGTGTTTACGGTATAAACAAGATAGTATTAGACTTTCCGAAGCATAGGATTTCATGTGAATACTGTAAACACCTTCCTACATGAGTCGCATATTATATTTTTCACAACAATACCAAGAGCAAAAACAGTTAAGTGGTCTAAGGGCAGGGGACAGCACCGTAAAATAAGGGTATCCAGTGTCGCTCAAATCTAGTGGCTGAGTTGACCTGTCTATTATTTATGAAGAGGAAATCCAGTTTTAACCATACATGTTTTGGCCTTTTCTGATAATTTACTTTGTGACTTATGTTACAAGTAAGCACTTGTCAACCAAACAAATCAAACAAATTATAAATCTTTCTTTGTGATTGACAAAGTGGTCCGTGACCATTAAATATTTAAATTGTATGTGTGTATATACAAATGTGTTTCTTACTAAGCAGACTCCCCCCCCCCTATAGAAGTAAGCTTGCTCTCCCTACAACAAATCAAATAAGTTATAAATATTACTTAACTAAGAATGTATACCAACCTGTCCTCTCAAAATGGTCTGATCAGTTTCAAACTGTGAGAATGTGAGGGTGACCAGTTCCTCAGGAGAAGATACTCTCATGGTCTTGTGGATGGGGAGAAAAAGTCCACTCTCCAGTTCATGGCGATCAGATTGCGCCCCTTCAACCTGCATCAACCATCCAATTTGTATACAAGTTCTGGTAAGTGACTTGACATTTTTATTATTTTTGTTTTTGTTAACTACCGGTACCGCCCACTTACAATTTAGCCTAAGCCACACTGATTATGATTTTCTTTGTGTACGGTTATCTATTGGTGATGATAGGTTTATGTTGTTTCAGATAAACTGATTATTACAGGTAATATGTGTTTTTCACTAATAACTTATGGGAAATGTAAACAATCCTTGAAACAAAAGTGAAATTAGCTACTATTTTTATTTTTTCATAAACAATTATCATGACTAGTCAATAGTCATGTTTTAACACATGTCTTGTATGTTGCCAATAACAGTAGGCCTATAAGGTTTTGGTAAATTTGCTTATTACACAGGGTGCTTTTATTATTTATATACAGGGTGGAAAAAAGTCCTGGGACAGTGGAATATAACAAAAATAATCAAGATAGAGCTACAAAGTTACTGGGCAAAAAAACCATTTAAACACATTATTCAGTGAACCACTACTTCCTCAGGGGGACTAGGGGTCAGAAGAAAATCTTAAATTTAAGCATAGGTTGATATGTACATCCAATTAAAGGCCTTAGCTAGTAGAATCGTGTAGAATACATTGCCGCAAATTTGAACTGAAACGGAAAACCAAGTCAAAAATGGCAATAGTCCAACAATTTCTTGAATGTACCATTTTAAAACTTTGGACAGCTGCCACTTTTTACTCAGTGTTTTTTTTTTTTTCAGCTGAAATTTGTGAGTGTGATGTGACCACTCATGGTACATTCCACCGGGCCATACCTCACCAACACGACGTGGCGCGGAGCAACAATGGGAAAAAATTAAAATATCATAACATTCATATACACGGCCTCACAAAAATTTTCATAACTTTGTTGTTTTTTAACTGATCTTTACAAGTTAAAAACCGTTGGATTTTTCATTAAATTTCCTAAAAACGCTTATTCTTAATATTTTTTAAATCATCACTTAATTCCAAGATATTTACAGGGTATATTTCCATTTTAAAATTCAATACCAATTCCAGACTTTTCAAGACTAATTCCAGATTTTTCAAGACTAGTTTTTTTCAACAATTAGTCGACCAATTAGTCGAAACAATGTGTCGATACCAAAATTGATCAATTCTCGCCCTCGGTTCTTGATACCAATTTTTATAGGTTTACAAAATTTTTTAAATAATTTGGTCATACTAAACCAACCCCTGTATTGATATCAAAAGAAAATGCAGCAATGAAAAATTTTAATTGGCCAATTTATGTTGGAACCCTTCTCAACACAGTAAATAAAAAATAACTACCATATCAAAGGTAAATGAAGATCTAACGACAAAAATCATATTTTATTATAACTAGAAGTGTGCCAGCCTGATATTTTCAATCAAGCCAAACTAGAGGTAATAGGAGACATCACGGTCGACTTCTGAGATTACTGTGAAATCCGGAATATATTCCCCAGTCACGGAAACATCATCACTATCTGTCTTGAACGCTGCAAAATCCTGAATATCAACAGAATCGCCATAATTGTCTCCCACAGTCCCAGAAACATTATACGACTCAAAATCACAAATATCTCCCAAGGTCATGTGGACAATATTGATATGAAACTGATTTGTCAGCTGTTCTAGTATTTAAGATGCCTTTTGCAGTTCAGTTCAGAATACAATTTGTCTTTGCTCTATTGCTACCAGCTTGTGTGTAAACAACAGGGTTGTTATAAACAATAACAATGACACAAAAAATGTCAGCATTTTCAAAAATACAGTGCCAAAAGTTCCAATTTTGAAACTTTTGAATCCCGAAACTCGCCTATCGAATCTCGAAACCGAAACTTTGTCAAAGTTTTGATGGTTTTAAGATTTGGTTTTGACACATCACTAGTCTTAACCGATAGCAGCAAAATTATGATCATCTTCCATGGTCGTGTAGTCATCATCATCGACTCCCGCGGTCACGGAAACGTCACCGTTGTCTTGCGCGATCGTGGAAAATCCACGAAAATCCAAAATGGGATGATTTTTACTAGAATAATCATACTAACGGACATGGATTTGAACGTACAGGTTTGGCCTCAGTGGACATCAAAACACAAAAGTAAATTGGTCCCGAGTCTAGGTAACAGACATGAAACCTATAGTAATAGCTTATTCCCTAAATAGGAAATTTGTAATACAAAAGAGAGGCATGATCCACACTTATGAGGCTGTAATTTTAAAGGACTGGAGTGTGAGGAAAACCTTTATTGTGATAGCAAATTCCAGAACGGGAATTTCAAGTTGATCTGGAAGGAAGTTGTCGCCCATATTGTTGTCAGCTATGTAGCCTGCTTGGCGAGCAGCACCACAGGCCAACACCTCGTCATAGTTTACACCAGTCAGCAGCGGTACAATTTTGGTTTTAGATTCTTGAAATATTTCTGATATGTACTTTCTCAGTTTAGGCATTTTCATTGGCCCACCACAAAGTAAGACCTGAAAGAAGAAAGTGAGAGACAGGTAGTTAAAGAGGGTCACAATGATTTTAAATATAGTCAATAGTTTTCTTCAATCGTCCATATTGGGGACTAGAACAAACTTTAAACACTACATTTCAAAGTCAAAGGGACACAGTTAACTTTATGATAATAGTTGCAGTAGGTTTAGTTTTTGTCAATCAATCAATTTATTTATCATACACAAAATTTATACATACACGTGATACAATATGTGCAAAAACCATACAAGGGTTGTCTGCACCAACATGTTATGAAAATATGTTTTTTAATTAATATAAAGTGCAATCAGCAATCAACACAGTTCTTTGAGTGTCCTGCACATTTTTTCTGAGAATTATACCATGTGTAATTTCAATTATAAACAAAGCACTGATGGTTGATTTTAAATCTAAAGGAAAAACAAATAAATATAAAATATCAACAAACAAATAATAAAAACAGCAACACAGGCTGACCTATGGTCCTCCTGACCAAATCCAAGCCCTAGCAGAACCCAGACCAAATTGGTTCCTGGTTCAGCAAATCTCGCTGTTATTTGCGTTTGTTATTTTGTCATTGTTCATTGAAAGGGAGATTTTCACTCAACCACCTACCCTACTCTATACCTGGATCAGAGTGACTTTTATTGGTGTAGTGCACCAAAATTAAGACTTGGTTAGCAGCATAGCGCTTTGATTATAACTAACACCTCCAATCGCATGTCACCAGGTGGCTGAGCTCTCGGGCAACGAAATCCTATGACATAGGAATTGAATTTCAAAGCTCGTTCAACGCTTTGGTAAATGTCTCTATTTGTTTGGGGGCTGTGTGGAAATGTAGAATATTAGTTTCTCTTTCAATTGTTTATAAGATAAATATTTATTCTTATATAATCTCAACATGGTGTGCCTAAATCCCGCCAAATTTAAAGTGTAAGCATTGAACATTAAATGACAATATAACCTAGTTAGTAGTTATGCGGTAGTAATTTTTCATAGAGCCTTACAACTGAATAAAATGTGTTGTAAGAATTTTAGTCTATCAACATAAGAAATCAAAGTAATAATTACCATTGTAACATCATCAGGAGTCAAATTCTGCCTGGAGAGGACCGAATGCAGTGGTTTGGCAAATTCAACAAGGAACGGGTTCAATAAGGATTCAAAACGAGCGCGGGACATTTGGTGACTAAAATCTACTCCTTCACATAAACTCTCAACAAAGCAATTGGCAGATTCTATAGATGATAGAACATGAAGGCAATTTTCTGCTGCTAGTGTCAATTTTGTCAGAGACCTGTGACTCTCTTTTGGATCCAACTTGTATTTCCTGCAAAAATGAAATAAACATGTTAAGAACACACTCAAAATTGGGTTTGTCTTAATGATTATTACTACTACAGTAGACTTTTGGTGATATGGATTGGTCTAGTCTGGACTACGGCAAATCAATGACAATTTTGAAAAAAATTGCGATATTTTGCAAAAAATCTGTAGTTTTACGTTTTATCGTCAACAGTTTTACCGAATATCCCATAGAGTCCCATATAGTTTAGTGAGTTGGTGGCTCAGTCGGTAGCGTCGCGGACTTCGGGCCCAAGGCAGCGATGTCGTGGGTTCGGATCCTGGTCACTGCCGATAACATTTTATCAGTACAGTTCACCTTTGTACTGTACCGGCTCACTCCTTGCTTTGCTGTAAACGATCCACGCACGGGCGCTTAGTCTATGTGGACGGGCAAATGCAAGGTTGAAAGAGGCCGCCAACCTCTTTTTTCAAATAAGAAAGAAAGAAAAGATAGAGGGAATAAGCTATTAACATACACCTTATGGTAAGACCTGGACCAAAGAGAGATTTACTTTTTAGTTTTTATGTACCCAGATTTAAAAAACACCATCCCTTCAAATTCATTTGTATATACAGAGTAGAAAAGTCCCAGGTCAGTAAAATATTTCAAAATATAATCAAGATAGAGCTACAGAACTTGGTACAAAGCCACTGCGAATTAAAATCATTTTATCACATTATTCAGTGATACGCTACCTTCTTAAATGTAAGCATCGGTTGATACGCAATAAAATTAACACTCTCAACAAAGAGTGAGAATATTGTAAAATGTTGTAGTTTGCTTGTTTATGGATATATTTTGATCAAACTTGGTTAATTTATTTATTTTATAATAAGTCATTAATATTTTACTAAAAAACACACTTTTTTACCCTCCCTGTAGCAGCAAGCCTATGTACTCATAAAACCTAATGTTAATTAAATACAGTACATTTAATTGAAAATCAATTCAAGCAACTGGAAATTCGCTTAGTTGGCAGGTTTGCTGTGGCGGGGGTATTTAATGATTAATTAAATGGTTAAATGGTTAATTAACATAGAACTAGGCCTAAACTCAAGAACTTGTTTGTCACCTCCCACCACTGAGGACAATATTTTAAAAGTAGTGGGTTTAAATGTACAGTGTATTAGGACTAAGTTAAATGTGCTATCTCTATTTATTAACAAAGTTAGGCCTGACATTTTTTGTATCTCTGAGCATTGGCTGAACATTGACGAGAGTTTATTTTACTCAAAGCTAGAATATATGACGCTTGCTTCAATTTTTTGCAGAAGTAACGTAGGACATGGAGGTAGTGCAATTTACGTTTCGGAACATCTGACTAAATCCATTAAAACTATAGATTTGAATAGATTCTGTGTAGAACTATGCCTAGAGGTGTGCGGCATCAGTATTCCCGAGTTATCCCTAACTATTTTATCAGTTTACCGTTCCCCTGATGGGAACTTGGAAGTTTTTTTTGAGTCTCTTGAGAACTGTCTTGTGTATCTGTCACAAACTGACTACAAAACTATACTGTGTGGTGACTTTAACATCCACCTGGAAGAACAATCAGAGGAAGAGCGTGTCTTCACTGATCTGCTGTTGAGCTGCGGACTTTTTATTGGGAACCGTCTGCCAACTAGGGGGACTGCCTGCCTGGACACCATGGCTACCAGTCTGAACGTGTGGGACTACAGCATTGAGGTAGTGGATGCCATGGTAGCGGACCACGATGCCGTTGTCTCTAGGGTAAACTCCGGTCCAACCTCGGTGAGTCCAAATCCAGTTTCTTGGCATAGAAATTATATCTTTAGTCATAGAAAGGTAAAAGATATAGATTTCCATAGATTTAGGACAGCTCTTGAGCTAACTGATTGGGTTAACTTTGTACAGTATTGTGAATTCCTACAGCCTCATGAAGCATTCTCTGCATTTCTTGAAATATTTGATAGAATTTTTAATGAAATTTTCCCCACTGTAAATTACACCAAAAGTGTAGAAAACAAAGCTAAGCCTAGGAGGATTGCGTCTCATAAAGCATGGTATACAGATGACCTGCATAGGATTAAAATGTATGTGGTTCTGTACAGGGACTTGATGAATTCAGCATCATCTAATGAGGAGTTTGCTCATTGGGAAACAATATATTTAAGAATAAATCGATATTACCGTAACATGGTTGACAAAGCTAAAAGAAATTTCAATGCAAGGTCTATTGAGATGGCTCACAACCCCCAGAAGGCTGCCTGGGCACTAATTAACCAACATAGAAATTCTGCTAAGCCTAAGTCTAATGCTAGCCCTGATGAGTTTAACAAATTCTTTATTCAGAACATTAATGAGATTGTTGACAATATTAACCTCACTTCTCAAACTCTTGATAGCTCATCCTTATTAAGAGCTGGAAATCGGTCGAGACAAATACCTACTATGTCAACCTGGAGGCTGGTTACTCCGGAAAAAATCTGCCAAATAGTTAAGGGCTACAAAAACTCTCATAGTCCTGATGTTTATGGTGTGTCCTGCCACCTACTCAAGTCAGTTATTGATGTGATCTTTTTTCCTTTGGCCTGGCTCATAAATTCATGCTTAAGTAAGGGAGTATTCCCGGACGAGTTAAAGATATCTAGGGCAGTGCCAATTTTTAAGAAAGGTGACCCCCAACTTTTGACCAACTACAGGCCTGTAGCCTTGGTTCCAGCCTTTGGTAAAATCATGGAGTCAATTCTCAACGAACAACTGGTGACTCACTTTGAAGGGAACGATATAATACTAAGTGCCCAACATGGTTTCCGCAAGGGGCGATCAACTGTATCGGCTGTGCGATCATTAGTTGGTCAGGTTATGGAGGCCTTTGAGGCTGGCGACTCTCTGGGACTGGTGTTGTGTGATCTAAGCAAAGCCTTCGACTGCGTTTCTCACGAGATACTTGTTAGTAAACTCAAACATTATGGAATAACGGGGATTGCTCTTAACACCTTGCAATCGTATCTGAGAAACAGGAAGCAGGTAGTGGAAGTTGAGGGTGCTCGATCAGAAGAGCTTAGTTTGCGACATGGGGTTCCTCAAGGGTCTGTGCTTGGTCCCCTTCTCATCGTCATTCTTGTCAATGATTTAGATCTTCAGGGCCGCTCACTTTTATATGCGGATGACACTACCCTGCTGGCAAGGGGAAAGGACATAGATCAAATACGTCTGGACTCAGACAGATTACTTGACGAGGCCAAGAATTGGTTTGTGAGCAACAAGTTGCAGCTCAACGATGATAAGACTCAGCGACTCATTTGCACTCTGAAGACGACTGATGCTGGGAACCCCTTGAAGCTCCTTGGCTTCTGGATTGATCCGAAGATGTCGTGGGGTGAACACGCAACTCAGGTCTGCCATAGGCTTTCTAGAGTCCTCTTTTTGCTAAGGAAATTGAAAAAATCTGTTTGAGCATTCTCAAATTAGGTCTAAACTTAAATTTATTTTAAATAAAATAATACTTGTTTTGTCATTTAAATAATAGATATTTAAATGTTTTGTGTGAAAATAAATAACTGCACTTTTTGGTTCAATTTAGAATAATATTTTAAGTGAGTTCATAAAATAAAATTGTATTAAGTTAAGCCAGACAGAGAGAGAGAGAGAGAGATAGGCAGACAATGCAGAGGAATGTGCTGCGTATCCTGCTTATCAGTTCCAGCCGACATGATATAGACTGAACAGTGGTTTTTCCTGTACACTGCTCCAACTCACGCAGTTACTATGCAGTCTTCATGTGAATCAAACATTATGAGGGTCTCTGAATCCCTCTAATTATTTTACCATGGGTCTCAGTATCCCATATTAAATCATCAATTATTGACTCTATTGTTTCTACAGAAGTTTTATTTAACCGTGAGGAACATTCACCAGAAGTTTGTGTGCACACAGTGTTATATTTTATTTTCTCAAGAAGTGTTAATCTCCATTACTTGGTATTAACGAACATTCGATAATTTCTTCTCCTCGAGGTCGTGAGTACATCTCTACACATCATTCCTCTCTGTCTATTTCAATTTGGACTTAAATATCTCAGCAAGAGAATAGTTTTGATTTTAATATTTTTATTGTAAAGGGTTAATTTAATTTTATATCATTATAATATTTTCTTAACTCAAATGGATTTATTATTTTTCCAATAGTAACTCACTGTTTAGACAGATCAGTAAACTTGCTTTCTACTATATTGACAAATATCTATTGAACCAGCAATTATTCAGTTTGATAGCAAAGTCAGGAATTTAATTTTTTAATTCCCCTTTGTTCAAACATATTGGTCCTTCGAGCCGGATTAACTTAGTCATTTGTTAATAAATAAAAAATTGTAAATTAAAATATCCTTTTAAAGAAACATATTTAAGGTCATTTTTAAATTGTCAAAGTAAGGTTAATTGTATTTGAAGGTTATTGTAGATTACAGTTGAGAATTTGTTTGTTTAAAGATAGTTATCATATAAAATATTTGGTATTCATTTTGTCTTAGATTAAATTAGATATTTAATCGTAAAACGCTCATACATTTCTCCAGAATTGGATTTGTGGTTTATTGATAATTTTAAGAGTTATTAGGGTTGTTTTGAGAATTTAATCTGAAAATATTTTCTTATGCCAAATAGTTTCTTAACACAAATAAATATTGCTGATTTATATTCTACAATCTTGTTCTATGTGCTACTGTAATATTATATAGGCTACAAGCATTATTGAATAATTTTGCAAATCATGATGTGAATTTTTTTATCTACTTTCATTCTGAATTAGTGGTATTCTTTGTTGATTTTTTTTACTATCTTGAAGTATATAGTACTTGTCATGTTCATACTTTTGTAAAGATTGCTCAAACATTTGTGCCTTTGATTATTTAAATTTTCTCTTGGTATTCAATTTCTGAGGGGAAAATGGATGCAGAAGATTTTAAGCGTAAGGTTTCTGCCTTGAAGCGAAAATTATCAGATAGTGCTAAGGAAGTCCAA